ATTTATTCTTCTTCCTATTGCTGCTGGCACCAACTTTACATTTTCGAACCAGAGAAAACATATCGTTTCTCTCGTTTCTTCCTGCAATAAACACAAAGATAAAAGACGTCGATCAGGTGCCAAACCTACGCGTGGCAGTTGTAGTTATTTTTCCGCTCTAAGAGTCCACTGTGCAGTTAAATTGGGGATCCCTCTCCGTAGCAAGAAATATCTAGAATAGAATTCTAATAGATTACACTTCCCGTCCGAGTAGAGTTCCGGAAAATCGCAATAGAGCCCGTTAAGTGAAATTATGAGGCCACACTAAAATAGGTTAGTGGAAGATACTATGAACGTGCAGCAAAAACTGCGCGGCTTATGTAGTTCGGCAAGGGGAAATGGAGGAGGCGATGGTATTTGTGATAAGGCTGAGTCCACAACGTCTCACGTTTTCGTCGCGGTGTGCGTCCTTGGCTAGAACTGGCCGCCGCCACGTGAATGAAGGACGTGATAGCAGTGGTGCATGCAAACGTGTTTGGTGATGGAGTTGGAGTCGGATACCCAGGTATCCCGTTATGGCTCGCACCATTATCCGCCTACCCATGAAGTTAAATTTATGGCTTTCTTCTAGAATGTGGGTAACGATCTGAGACTGTGTGGCCTCTCCGCACTGCCCATTTGTGCTCCATTATTCTCGAGCTAGGTCGTCGTCCGGTCTGCGCTGTATAACGGTTAGAGCGGTTGCGACATGGCATTTAATACACGAAGCCAGGCTGCTCACTTAGCTCTAATCGGTCTTTCATTTGCACGATTTGACTACACATGGTAGTTGTCAGACGATGAGCGATACCCGCGCCGAACTCTGCAGCAATTGTCTCCGTTGCCTCTAATTCATTACTTATATACGATGTAGAGTGTCAGAGAGTTTTTGGCTCTCCTTTGTTTTTTTTTTTCCGCGAATGCGTACGGAAGCAAAGGGTGACGAAGCTGCTCGGGTATCTATTCCTTACCAGTTGGTCTCAAAGATTTTGCAATTCTTGTACGCGTCCCTGGGGATCACTGAAATGTGTTTTTGCCCCCTCTGAACGAGTGCTCCAATACATCTTCGTTTACAGGCCATTTGGAAGTAACTACGACAGATGAGCATCTGGGTTGTATAAGCAGGCTTTCTGTACACTGTGCTGCTCAGTTCTCCATGGGATCTGCGTGTGACGAGGGTGACAAGGAAAGTCGAATGTTCGGCGTTCTCTTTTTTGGCACTTGTTGTTGAACGTTCACTGATCGCTAACGGCTCTCGCATGACCCCCTCTGTCTAGGTGCTCATGCTCGAGCCTTGCCAGCAGATGCACAGCGACAAGTAGACTAGGCAGATAGTATCGCCGGAAAAGGCAAGGGAGACTGAAATGGCCATTTCTGGCTCATTAGCCATCATCAGCCAGCGATACCCAACCTCAAGTGGTACCCCACCCGAGGCTCGAACCCATGACGTTCAGACCAGGGGTCTAACACCCTAATCATTCAGCCACAAACTCGTTATCTTGCGATTTGGATTGAGAGATATTGGCACTCCTTTGAAATAAATGTTAGGGAGGATGCCGTTAAGCCGGTCTTGGAAGTCTATTAGTCTGCTTCTTTTGATTATGACGATAGTATCG